TCAGTATATAAATGATTATGGATATAGGTTCAGTATATAAATGGGTAACTCAGCGCAGATGTTCAGAATTCTTTGTTCAGTTTTCATGTTGTTCCAGAGCCTAATGGAGGCTTGATTCGGAGGCTCCGTGAAAACAAACAACTGAGCATGCGCAGCTATGAGCATCACAGCGATGATTGACAGCCCTTGGCATCACTTGGTTGGTTAATCTCGACGGCATCGTGGATTCTGAGAAGGGAAGGCGGGACTTACCCGTAATATTAGAATTCATAAAATGACTTATTTTATATCAACTTTTAAGGCCAGGAGGTCAATTTAATACAATTCTTAAAATGTGTAATACATTTAGAGTTCCAGACTATCACTTTAACAACCAACAAATGCAAGTCAATCATTCTCTCACCACATTCATACAGCTGCAAGTTTTGGCTGATGGGCGAAAACTGGAGCACCTGGAGGAAATCCAGCCAGACACAAGGAGAGCTTGCAAACTACACTCATAATGGCACAGTTTTAAGGGAATTGTATAATAGTGGACTAAGGCACCAATATTATTCATGTGGAACAATACAGACACTTTCCTACATAGTTTACAAGGACATTATAAAGAAAGCGGTCATCTTGTTACTTGGACTTGTGCAAAAAGGCCCTGAATTCAGTTCCACCCCCAGGCCTTTCTGTGTGGAGTTTTCATGCTCTCCCTGTGTCTGCATAGGTTTCCTCCTGGTGCTCAGGTTTCCCCTACCACTAAAATGATGTGCAACAGGTTTGAATTTACTATTGCACATCATCATTCATTCACTCACGTTTCCATCATCACTGTGTGTGGAGAGAATGGGATAATATCTGCACTCTAAAATATTGTAAAGCACTTTGGGTGACCTTGGTGGTCTCGGAGGATTTAGAACGATAACAACAGATGCTGTCATTATGCACAGGCTCGTCTCCCGTGTGACCTGTGTGTAGTTTTATGACCTTCTCCAGCAACAAGCTTTACAACAGTTTGGATTTTGTTCTGTCTAAATTCCCGCTTTGGTTCAAACAGGGTCCGAGGAGGGTCGTTCGTTCTGACACGCCTGTATCGCCAAGTGTGAAATGAGCTTTTGAGCCCACACTCCGACTAGAACTTTTCCCTGGGAATACGCCACCTGCCCTGTTGCTGCTCCGGCAAAGAGACCAAATGAAGGTCACCAGATTCAGATTCATTTTAGTTGCAGTAAAACCACATTGGAATACATTTGCAAAAGTCCCCAATGCGCACATGAAAAGTACATGAATAAAACAAGGTTAAAAGTTTAACCTTGTTAAAGTTTAAAGTTAAAACTTTATGGGAAAAATTCTGGAAAAAGTTGCTTACCAACAACTTACAGAATTCTTAGTAACTAATAGTTCGTTTGATGCGCTCCAGTCCGGCTTTAGAGCCAATCACAGCACTGAGACTGCACTAGTGAAGGTTACAAATGACATCCGACTTAACACCGACACAGGAAAGGTCACAGTTTTAGTAATGTTGGATCTGAGTGCTGCGTTCGACACAGTCGACCACGAGATCCTCATGCAGAGACTAGAGCACTGGGTGGGTGTCACTGGGACTGCCCTAAGTTGGTTTAGGTCTTACCTAGAAGACAGGAAATACTTGGTTCAGATAGGAAACTATGTCTCAGATGATATGGCTCTGACCTGCGGAGTGCCACAGGGATCAATTCTGGGGCCTCTTCTGTTCAATATTTACATGCTGCCATTAGGTCAGTTAATACGCTCCAACAATGTATCCTACCACAATTACGCTGATGACACTCAAATTTATGTCTCACTTACTGCAGGAGAACATGGACCAGTGGAATCACTCCTTCACTGTATCCAACAGATCAGTGATTGGATGCAAAATAACTTCCTTCAGCTAAACGCAGACAAAACAGAATTGATTGTCTTTGGTCCTCAGAAACAAAGAGAGAGCGCTATTCGTCACCTCCAGTCTCTCTCCCTGGAACCTGTAGGCAAGGTCAGAAACCTAGGAGTTATAATGGACTCAGACTTAAATTTTAACAGTCATATCAAATCAGTAACATCAGCAGCATTTTACCATCTGAAAAACATTGCCAAAATTAGAAACATAGTGTCTAAATCAGATCTGGAGATTCTCATCCATGCATTTGTCTCCAGTAGGTTAGACTACTGCAATGGCCTGCTCACAGGTCTCTCCAAACAGGCTGTATAACAACTGCAGTATGTCCAAAATGCTGCAGCTCGAGTCCTGACCAGGACCAGGAAATATGACCACATTAGTCCAGTTCTCAGGTCTCTGCACTGGCTTCCTGTGGCTCAGAGAATAGACTTCAAAGCAGCACTGCTTGTGTACAAGTCTCTCCATGGCCTCGCACCAAAGTACTTAGGCGACTTGTTAGTGCCATATGAACCGGCCCGGACTCTGAGGAGCACAGGAGGCAGCCTCTTACTGGTTCCAAGAGTCAGAACTAAACATGGGGAGGCAGCGTTTGAGATTTATGGAGCTAAAATCTGGAACAATCTTCCTGAGGATGTGAGGCTAGCATCTACTCTGGCAATTTTCAAATCAGGGCTAAAAACTGTTCTTTTTAGCTGTGCATACGGCTGAAGGATTTTATTGATACATACTCTTTTTTTTAATGCATTGTGGTTATTTATTATTTTAATCCCGTGTGTGCTTTTAATATTTTAAGGTTTTTTTCATTACTTGTGATTTTATTCTGTTTTTAATGTATTTATTGTTTGTATATGTAGTTTTTGATGTTTCTGATTTGTCTGATATTATGTGGGTTGTGAGGCGCTTTGAGTGGCCTTGTGTTGGAAAGGCGCCATACAAATAAAGTTGATTGATTGATTGATTAAAAGTGCAGAAATAACACCCCTTTTTGACTTTCTTGTTTTATTTCCAACTGCTACCTCTTTACTTGGTGCTGAATAAAATACATTACAAATTTAAACAAATAAATAAAACTTTTTTTTTTAAGTGCAGGAAACAATTGACAGTGTGTGCACTTGTATTGAAACTGAGTGGGCGACACGGTGGCTGAGTGGATAGCACTCTCGATTCTCAGCCAGAAGGTCCTGGGTTTGAATGTTTGAATGGGATGTTACGTGCATAGGTTTCCTCCGGGTGCTCCTGTTTCCCCTACCACTAACAAACATGTACAGTAGGTATGAATGTAATTAATGAATCAGTCCTGTGTTTGCATAATGTCACTGTACCACTCTGAAATCACACTCAGAGCTGTTTCTGTCTTTTATAGCAAAAGTACTTTAGTAAAAATAAATTGGCAAATCTTTGAGTGAAATTACATTCTTTACAAACAAAAATCAAATAACTCACTAAACTAATTAACTAAATAACTAAAATAACTCAAATTAATTTAAATCTTCTAGAGTTAAATTGGTAGCTTAGAGAGTTACAGGTAGATATCATTAATTATCTTTGATACTTGTTTAACCAGCCCTGACTTGACTTAATATTTCTGCATGGATTCAGGACCAATCACAGAACAGGGATGACTCACTAGTCCACAGACAGAAGCTTGTAGTTTGTTCACAGATCCAGCAGATGGAAGCAAATGCAAACCTGTCTTCACCCATGTTTTTTTACTTGCAGAAACAGAAATAAACGTTTTGCACCATTGCATAAGCAATATTTCTCATTCACTCGCTCTGCATACAGGACATTATCACGACAAATGGATACGATTGGTGCTTACACACCAATCATAAGCTCATTTCACACTTGGCGATACACATACATTCACTCAATAAAGCCGCTGTAGTGTGACCCAACCTCTCCTACAAAAAAATGAAGGGATGGTTCCCAGGTAAAAAATTGACCTCTGATACAGTATGTACATGTGGTCTGGTGTTAGCAAGGTTAGCTCCTTCAAACATGTCTGATCTTTTTGTGCCTTGTGAACTCTTCAAAGCCTCAGCCTCAGATGCTCAGCCCCTGAACTTTATACATGTTTTTGACACTAGTCAAAATGACTGGGAGTTCTAGAGGAGGAGAAGCGGTTTTCTCCCATTAAGCTCCTTGTAAATGGAACACTCTGCCTAATAACTGGGCAGCACTAGCCCTTCACACCGAGTTTGTATTTTCTCCCCGTGCTTAAGTAGGTTTCCTCCAGGTGCTCCGGTTTCCCCACTAAAACTATGTACCATAGGTGAGGGTGTTTGTGACTTTGACAGATTGAAGTTAGCTGCAATCTGGTGTATTTACTGCTCCTGCTGTTTGTTAATATGCGTTTTTTTATTAAAACAACATCAAACGTGTGTGATATGTTTTGTTGTGTCATCTTTGTGAAGCACCATTTTAGTTTTACAATACAACTAAAAAAGCTAAAACCATGAGAGCACTGAGATGAAGTCAACACGAGGAGTGATGACCTGTCAGCTGTGTTTGTGGCGTGTGCTTCGTGGAGTGGTTCAGCGCGGCCCAGAGATGTAACTGTACAGGCGTGTGTTAGTGTGTGGAGCGAGGAGGAATGCAGTCTGTATACACACACATACAAACATACACACACACACACACACCTACACGCACACACCTACACACACACACACACACACACACACACACAGGGTTTAGCATTATTTTACAGAAAAATGTTGATATACGTGTAAAAGAATTCATGTTGAAAGATCTTTGAAAATAACATCTGACCTAAGATCTAAAGGTTTCTAATAAATAAAGGAAAATAAAATACAACTACTACATCACACACACACACTCACACACAAACACACACACACACACACACACACACACAGGGTTTAGCATTATTTTACACAAAAATGTTGATATACGTGTAAAAGAATTCATGTTGAAAGATCTTTGAAAATAACATCTGGCCTAAGATCTAAAGGTTTATAATAACTAAAGGAAAATAAAATACAACTACTACATCACACACACACACTCACACACACACACAGATCCTGGAGCAGAGCACAGACATGTGAGCTTCCACACAGGACGCAACATGGAGCGCACGGTGAGGACAATTACATGTTATTTTTCTTTCTGAGAAGCCAAACATAGACATATCAGAGCATCTAGAATTGATGTTTAGAATCGTACTGTTAAAAAAAACTTGTTCGTACAGAGTGTGTATGCATACTTGGCAAGAAAAAGCCCTGTGAGTCACTATTCGACACTTAGGGCTGAAAGGGGATTAGCAGAGTGAGGAATATCTTTTCTTTCTTACTTTTCCGTCGGAAAAAATTATCTAACGACGTGACAGAGGCCAAAAATATAGACAGAACCAAACTGTTACGAGATATTGGACTTTTGTATTTATTATTTTGAGGCTTGAGATCTGGATTTTTATTATTAAGGATTTTTTTTACACTGTGACTCTATCCTTTTTATGATGTGTTTAACTGATGATGCAACTTCTGACACAAGCAACATTCTTTAAGTGATTAATATTGTGGCATCAGCTGCAAGTGAAATCCGAATCCTGTCCTCTAAAGCTAAGCGGGGCAGGGCCTGATTAGTACTGTGATGGGAGCCCTCTGTGAAAAACCAAGAGCTGTGGCTGTAAAGGGCCATAGTGTGTTTGTGTCCTTAGGTAAGACACTTCACCCACATTGCTTAAAATGAGTGTGGTGTGTGAGTGTGTGTGTGTGTGTGAATGGTTGGTGGTGGTCAGAGGCTGATGGCAGATATTGGTTGCCTAGCTTCCACCTTGTATGGAGCGAAAGAATAATGGCATATAAAGTGTCTTTGAGTGTCCAAAAAAGCGCTAAATAAAACAAGCTGATGAACTGCAGCAGAGCCAGAGAGGCAGAAGGGAGGAGACACACCCGGTACCAGATGTCTCTGCTTTCCGTACTTCAGACAGGAACTGACCAAAACAGATTTGGGTGGACATGAATGTAAATGAGTTTGTCATAGATTTGTGGAGTCTTGACCAGTAGAAGGCCCACAGATACAGACCTCCACCAGACATCACTGCCAGACTTTTGTCATAAGTGCTGTGCTTTTGTCACATACTGTAGTTAGTACAATGCAGTATCAATCAACGTTTATTTGTAGAGCGCCTTTCCTACACAAGGCAACGCAAAGCGCCTCACAACCCATATAACATCATGCATAAATCATCAAACATTAAAATTTAAGTAAACATAAAAAGACAGATTAAGAGCACAAGATATATAAAATCACACAAGTAGTTAAAAACCGTAAAACATTAAAATCACACAAGGGATTACAATCATAAATAATCATAAATAATCATAGCGCATTAAAAAGATTAAAGATAAAAACAAATATAAAATCATTCACTTGTATGCACAGCTAAAAAGAACTGTTTTCAGTTCAGTTTTAAAAACTGCTAGAGTAGACGCCTGTCTCACACTCTCGGGAAGACGGTTCCAGACTCTAGCTGCATGAATCTGAAACGCAGCCTCCCCATGTCTAGTTCCGACTCTTGGCACTAACAGAAGTCCAGTCCCTGTGCACCTCAGAGCCCGAGTTGGTTCATATGGCACCAACATGTCGCGGATGTACCCTGGTGCGAGGCCATGGACAGACTTGTACACAAGTAAAGCTACTTTAAAATCTATTCTCTGAGCCACAGGAAGCCAGTGCAGAGACCTGCACTGGCAGTATCTTTAAGCATGTCTGGTATCACTACTACTGCATACTAGTCAGTGTCGGCAGTAAAGATACATCAAAGCCCTTAGAAGTCAGTTAGGGGTTATGAGAAAACCTCATTTGGATTGATTATTTTACCTTGAGGATGATAAAGCCGATAGTAAAAAATAGAAATAGGTTCATAACATTGACATTATTTAAAGACTATTCTAAGACTTTGCACAGTAGTACGTGTTTGTAGTAAACCTGGTGACACAAGAGTGCAGCATCAGAACTATTTACTGTCTATGATCAGAACAGGACAGCCATGGGTCCATAAAAACATACACTGAGCCAGCAGAGGGCGCTGTGGTGGCACTGATGAGCTTCACAGGGCCTATCGCGAACATAAAAAACTACTAATTATTAGTGTTCAAAGATTCTAATGTTGTTTGTTTTAATGTATTATTTGTAAAAAAAATATTTTATACAAAAGTATCTATTTAAAGTATATCATAAATATATTCTGGAAATACTGTGTCCTGCGTTGTTTGAGAGCCATTGTATCGTCTGGTGTATTGTGAAACGGTTGTTTTAAAATCTATATTTAACAAAGAAAGTCACGGATAATAATTATTGGAGCAATATGCCTCAAAGGATACAATATGTGTGTTTTACTATATTCTAATTAATCAGAGATTCTAATAGTGACAAATGCAAGAAGAAAGGTGAAAAAATATGCTAAATCTAGTATAATCAAGGAAAGCCGGGGTACTTACTTTCAAAACACACAAAAATGAAAATGGAATTACTATGGAATTTTTGGCTTCTGTCACATCTATAGATCAGCATTTTCAGTGAGACGCTAGAAAAAGAGCCAATCAGCTCTCAGCCCAAAGCCTTAACACAGGGCTCTTTAAGTCTGCAAAAGAACACATGCTTTCTCGTTAGAGGAAGACAGCCTGGAGTGGTCTTTATTCATAACATTATATAATTTCAAGACTCTTTACATTGGGAGAAAACAGACAACACAGACAATTAAAATCTATATTACCTCTCTATGTAATGATGATGGGTGGGAGGAGCTGGAGCCAAATAAGCACCTTGTGTGGTATGTACTTATACACATGTTTGAAAATATAAAATAAATATACTTCTTATGTTTCCAGCTCTTCGTAGAACCTTGGACTCTGTTCCCAGCATCCGCACTTTGGTCCAACACCACCCCCACCTCCCCAGCAGCACCTACCCCTCTCCCCGGCTCGTGGGGACTGGTCTACGCCCTGGTGCCCCCGTACATCTTCCTCATCTCGGTGCTGGGCCTCCTCTTCAACGCTTTTGTTCTGACCGTGTTCTTCCTGTCGCGGGACCACCTCTCCGTCGCCGACTTCTACCTCGAGAACCTGGCCCTCGCAGACTTCCTCTTGATGTCCTGTTTGCCTTTCTGGGCCACCAACATCCTCGCCAAATTCAACTGGCCGCACGGCGACGCAATGTGCAAGATTGTCAACTCTGCCATTGTCGTCAACTTGTATGTCAGCATCCTCAGGCTGGCCATGGTCAGCGTGGACCGGTATCTCGCGCTGGTGAAAACCATGAAGGCTCTGTGGCTTCGTCGAACGCTCTACGCCAAAATGATCTGCTTCGTGATTTGGATTCTTGCCATTTTGCTAAGTCTTCCAACGATTGTCCACAGAAGAGTAGCGTATGTGGAAGAACTGGATAGTCTTTCTTGCGTTTTGGATTACGCACACAGCAGTTCTTGGAAACTCGTCCATGAAATCTTGTTAATCTTGGCGGGGTTTCTACTTCCTCTTCTGGTGATTGTCTTTTGCAGCGGCAGTATAATAAGAGCGCTCTCAAGAAGGAGGGAGATGAATTTCCATTATGATAAGAAGGCCACTGCCCTGGTCTTCCTCTTCTGCTGGAGTCCGTTCCACATTCCACACGCTATTGGCCTTTGCCAATAGCGTGTGGAATCCGTTGCTTTACGTGTGCTCAGGGCAGTATTTCAGGAAGAAGGTTTGGAGCGTTTACAGAAGAGCCAGGGGCAAGAGAAGGGGGGAGCAGAGGGGGTCGGACATGAGCGCGTTCCAGAAGTCACAAATTTCTACGTACATCAATCGCTCGGAGCAGATAAAGCCAGTGGTGCTGGTGCTGGTGCTGGTGAACGCCAACAGTTCTCAAACCATGTTTTAGTGGCTCAAATGTATTACTTCCACCAAAAAGATAGCTTTGATTGCATTTATGTTCCCTGTATTTTCAAAAATGTTGCAGAGAATGAGAAGACATTTGCGTACAAAAATCCATGAGTGAATACTTGTAAATACTTGCTAAACCGGAGTTTGTTTCCTGACAATGGAAAAATGCAATAATAAAACAACAACAAGTTCTGGATAAACTTTAGAATATGTTTTGTGTTCTGCATTGTGATATATTCAGTTATGTTACAAAAGTAAATACTAATTGCTTTTTTCAAAATGTACATGTACAATGTTGTTACTGCAACAAGAAATTATGATAATGTTCTTTACAGCGGCTCTGATGACGTCTCCTCTGTGACAGAAACATCGGTTTTCCACATTCAACAAGATCCGTGTTGAAGCTGTGTTTGTGTGTTTTTAACGCTGTCACATATAGTTTTGCAAGTTTTTTGTTATTAATTGTAATCCAAATACAAAAGTTTTTGATCTAATGCTTTATACTACGTGGTTACTGAAAATGTAATGGCAGTAAGTATTTGATACTGAGTTAGCCACAAAACTGGTTATATTCAATTCAAATGTGTCTATGACATTGTGAATGAACTCGAGGGAAAATTTCAGAAAATGTGGATCGATTTAAAACGATTACATTCTATTTAAAAATATTACATTCTAGTCACTCAGTCTGAAGAATATATATTCATCATGCGTGTGTTACATTTTTCCTTTGAACAGGGTGGATTAAGTACTTACTTTGACATTCCATGTTCAGAACTACCTTCAAGTGTAATTTCTACACATTCACACGTGAACAACACGTAACTGTCTTCACACCGACAGTAATGAGAATGAGGCAATATCTGTATGGATGGAGATAAAAAACAACTGCAGATGTGTTTTTTATGAGGCAAAAAGCTCAAAAGGTTCAAAATAGTTAACTTGGTGCTAAACCAAAACAGCCTGAATATTCCCAAATTTGGCACACAGGACATATTCCCACAGGGCGAGTCGGCAGATGGAGGTCGCTGTAACTATAAACGTTATGAAGTCATGGAGGACAGAGGCTGCTGTTTGTGGAGAACTTTCTGCAGATTATGTAATGGACACATCACGAAGAGACACACAGTAAAAGTGGAAGCCATTTTAATTGGATTCCATCGCTAATCGAGATATAATTTGGGAAGTGATATCATACAGTTTGTGCACTTTGCCATAACCCTTTGATGATCTGTGGCTGACAAGAAGGAAACAGAAGAGAGAGCTAGAACCCACTGTCACCAGAGGGATTTTACTTATGTCAGAATCGGGCCAAAGTCAGATCCGTGGACTCCTCCCTCTGCAGGAGAAATGGGCTGAAAATATTTCCACAAATACTTTCCAGCTCTTTATTATTCTCCATTATTCTGCACCAAAAACCAAAGCAATTTCCTAGTTTGTAACTTCCCGTTACTCACAATGCCAATACAAATAATTCTGATTCTGATATCGACAAATAATTTCTTGATTTAATTTTTCTACTAATAGCACACCTATAAGTGTTACTATAGCAACAAGTCACTTTACCTGCTGTTATGATTACTTTATTACATATTCTATCAGCTGTTCTTATAATTCACAAGCCCCTTTGCCTGCTGCTGTTACTATTGTTTATTCTGGTCATATTCTCTGCCGCTCAAGTACAATACAAACGTGTAAATGTGAAACCTCTGCTGCTGCTGACTACAGTGTGTACCATAGACTGTAAAGGGACTTATCCTTGACCCAAGTGAAATTATAGCTCAAGAGTTTATTATCTTTTTCTATCTATTATTATTATTATGGTTATCTTAAATAATCGATCCTGTTTTATGTGTGCATAACCTGAGTGCTCTTATTTCTTCTTTTGTTCTGCTGTAATGTGCGCAACTATGACATTTCCCTACTGTGGGACGAATAGGTTTATCTTATCGACATGTCATTCTTTATGCAGATTTGTGTTATTGTTGACAACGGAGGGTGGACCATCTCTGTTTCTTCAAAAATACCCAGGTGCAGGTGAGTCAAGTGTATAACTGAGGACAGTTCAAAAAGATCCATATTCTCAATTCACAAAGATATCAACCCAGCTAAAAAAATTATTTAATGAAAAAGCAAATACACAACAGAAAATACAAAACGTAACCAAAAAGTTCGCAAAGACGTGAACTAAATGAGACATGGAAACGACAATGACACAAGGTTTAAATACACAGGATTGGAGGGGCGGGGCGGGGTAGGTAATTGTTAGTTACCTATTGTAACTGTAGTTCTACGAATAGTGCGTAGCCCCTTAGGCTCGCTTTGGGTATGACTCCAGAAGCACCAGCTTCCCGCCAGAGAGAACTCAATGCTCCAATCACTGTGCAGAACCTCCTATAAATAGCCCACAGCAGTCCATGCTCTTCACTTTGAACTCGCCAAAGCCAGGTTGGACTGATGGGCCCGTAGCTAAGGGGCTACGCACTATTCGTAGAACTACAGTTACAATAGGTAACTAACAATTCTACTTCATAGTGCTACGCCCCTTAGGCTCGCTTTGGGTAACGAAGCGTAGCCTAAGAGTATGTACTCCCATCAGGCCAGCTAGCAGTGATTGGAGCCCTGCCGAGTAGGCCCTAACACCTCCAAGGTGTGGGAACTCAAGACAGACAGGGAATGAGCAGTGATGGGGCCGCTCCTATCAAGGACGCCCAAGGATAAGCTCAAAGGTGAAGCAGTGGTAGGGCCGCTCCTATCAAGGACGCCCGAAGCACTAACAGAATCCAAGAGGGAGGCCGTTCCAGGAACAGCCAAGTCTCTGACCAAACGCCCAAGGGCGAAGGTCACTTCCCAGGACGCCTCTATCAAGAGCTCCTGAGGAACACCGCGCGCGCCCCCGTAGGGGAACAAGGAACAGTCCCAGGCCGCCTCTACCAAGAGCACCTGAGGACTGCACAAAGCCGCGAAGGAAGAAGGAGAAGGCTGAGCCCAGGACGCCTCTATCAAGAGCTCCAGGAGGGGCCGGCCGGCCGCTCCAGACAACATAGACCGCAGAAGCCTCAGAGAGAGCCAGACACGGTCGCATCAGTCCCAGAGCTCAGGATGGAGTGAGCAACAGACCGCTCTGAAACATCCACCAGGTAAGACAGAGCAAAGGTGGAAGACGAAGCCCAGGACGCAGCCTGGCATACCTCCTCCACCGAGGCCCCTCGTAGCAGAGCTGTGGAGGCCGCCACGCCCCGAGTGGAGTGCGCTCGGAACCCCACCGGGGGCACCATCCCCTGGGCCTGATACGCCGAGCGAATCGCCCGGGACACCCAGTGGGCCAGCCGCTGGGAGGATAACGGGGCGCCTCTGTTTTTAGGCCCCAAGCACACGAACAGCTGATCCGTGCGCCTGAAAGAGGACGTGACCTCCAGGTAATGCCTCAGCATCCTGATAGGGCACAACAGGTGTCTTTGCTCATCCTCCTGCGAGGCGTGAGGCGGAGGGTGAAAGGGTCTGATCCGTATGACCCTGGACCTGAAGGTTGAGGAAACGACCTTGGGGAGAAAGGCCGGGTTGGGCCACAACTCCACCAACCCATCCCCCGGACCAAAGGACAGGCAGGCCGGGCTGATGGAAAGAGCGCACAGTTCTCCCGCCCTCTTGGTTGATACCAGAGCCAATAAGAGTGCGGTCTTGAAGGCCACGCATTCTGGGCTGGCACGGGTCAGGGGTTCGAAAGGAGGCCCTGACAGCCCTTTCAAAACCACCTTGAGGTCCCAGATCGGAGGTGTTCGTCTAAGGACCGGCCTCTTCCTGTAGGCCCCCCGAAGGAAGCGTTTGATTAACGGGTGGGAGCGGGCTGAAAACCCCCCGAACCCTTCGTGACCAGAGGCAATGGCCGAAGCGGACACAGCCAAGGTACTAGCGGCCCTGCCCTTATCCAAAAGGTCCTGCAGGAATCCCAGGACGCCCTCTAGAGGGCAAGACCTGGGGTCCCACGAGTGGGCCGCGCACCAGTCTTTGAAAAGCTTCCACCGGCACCCGTAAGCCCTCACGGTGGAAGGTGCCCTCGCCCCTTGGATGGTATCCACCACCGCCCGGGGGAGGCCTAGTCGGACTAGGTTCTGCCTCTCAGCTTCCAAACCCAGAGCCTGTGGCCCAGGACTGGGCGGGAGCGAAGCGTCCCCCCTCCCTGGACCAGGCCCCCTGGCACGTCCGGGAGAGGCCACGGGTCCATCACAGACATGTTGGTCAGGAACGGGAACCAACGGGCCTGTGGTCGGTCTGGGGCGACCAGGATTACCTCCCGCTCTTCCTGCTCGATCCTCCTCAGTAGGATCGGTAGGAGACGAGGGGGGGGGAAGGCGTACAACAGGCCCCCTGGCCACGGATAATGAGCCAAGGCATCCACCCCTAGAGGCGGATTGTCCGTGGGTCTCAGTGCGAACCAGAGCGGGCATTGCGCGTTGTCTGCACTGGCGAACAGGTCGACCACAGGCCGACCAAACCTCTGCCAGACCTCCGCTGCCATCTGCGGGTCGAGGCCCCACTCGTCCTCGAGAGGGCCTCCCCGTGACATTATGTCCGCCCCTGTGTTCCTGTCTCCCGGAACATGACGCGCTCTCAGAGACTGCAGATGCCCTGCAGCCCAGATCAGAATGGTCGCTGCCAGTCGGTGGAGGGCTGGGGACCTCGTGCCCCCCTGCCGGTTCAGATACGCCACCACTGTGGTGTTGTCTGAGCGCACCATCACGTGTCTCCCCGCTAGTTGTGGAGCGAAATGCAGAAGCACCCTGTGAACCGCCTCCATCTCCAGCAGATTGATGTGACGAAGAGGGCCTGACCAGGCGCCCCCCACAGAGCTCTGGTGCAGAACCCCCCCCCATCCCTCCAGAGACGCGTCCGTGAACACCTCCACGTGTGCCACGGCACCTACCAGGGGAACTCCTTCCAGCATCAGACCGGGCGTGAGCCAGTAGCTCAGGTCCTCGGCCACTCCTGGAGGAACAATGAGCCTTCTGCCCCCGTCTCTTGTGGGATGTAGTCGGAGACGGGAGAACCACCTCTGGAAACGTCTCAAGTGAAGGAGACCTAGCCGCACCACTGCATGAGCTGATGCCATCATCCCCAATAGAGACCGTATTCGTCGGGCGGTCACTGTGGGAGAGGTCAGCGCTTCCTGAGCTAGACGCGTGATGCTCGAGCGTCTGTCCTGGGAGAGCGCTGCCCGAAACTCCACCGAGTCTAGCTGTAGACCTAGATAGACTAAGCGCTGTGCGGGTTGCAGATTGCTCTTTTCCCTGTTCACCACAAAGCCTAGGCGCTGCACGTGTGACAGGACCCAGTGCGTGTGAATGGTGGCCTGCTCCAGAGACGGGGCCAGAATCAGCCAGTCGTCTATATATGTCAGGATTCTGATCCCTGCGCGTCTGAGTGGTTCCAGCGCCGCCTCCACGCACTTGGAGAAGGTGCGTGGGGCCAGAGCGTAACCGAAGGGGAGGCGACAGTACTCGTAACACTTCCCTCCCACGGTGAAGCGCAGGAAGCGTCTGTGCTCCGGTACTATGGCAACGTGGAAGTAAGCGTCCGTCAGGTCTATGGTTGACATCCAGTCCCCGGGCCTGACGCACTCTAACAGATGTTTTGTGGAAAGCATCCGAAAGGGCCGTTTGGAAATGCACTGGTTCAGAGTGCGCAGATCCAATATAGGGCGCACCCCCCCTGATTTCTTGGGGACCAGGAAATACGGGGAGTACAGGCCTCTGGAGGCGTCCCGAGGGTCCACCAGGACCGCGGCGCCTCTGCGTAACAGGGAGGCGACCTCCATTTGGAGCGCCTCTTCTGTCTCCCGATCTGTAGGGCGCACCGCACGAATGCCCTGGAACGGCGGTGGTCTCCGTGCGAACTGCAGAGCGTAGCCCCTGCGCATCGTTTTCTTTAACCAGGGGTCTGACAGTAGACCGAGCTCTTCCCAGACCCGAAACTGCTCTGTGAGGGGAAGGAGAGGACCCGGAGCACCTGGTGTAATAGCCCCCCACTCTCCCTGCGCTCCCAGCGGAGAGGGGGGGGGCATCGAAAGGGCCGAAACACCTCATGAGATGTGCTGTGTGAGGAGGTTGGGACCAGGCCCCCTGACTCACTTATAGACAGCGGTAATCTGTGTTTCACTCCCCGCCCAGAGGATGAAATGACAGCAGCCTGAGCTGAAGGGCAGACGTGTGTGGGAGCGTCCTGCTCTGTATGCGTAACACCACTAACAGAGGGAACCCCGGAGACGGAGGGAAAAACCTGACCTAGACTTTCATTACCACCCCTGGGGAATGAAGTGCTGGATTTACCCCGGAGACGCTGAGAAAAGGGAGAGAGGCTCGCAAAACCTGGTCCTGACCCAGCAGACACTACACTGGCCGCTGTGGGAAGTGGTATGGAGGGATGCGGCCGCTGTGGACTCAACGTAACCAAAGGTGATAGACCTGTGTGTGATGCAATGCTGCCCTCTACCTGAGATGACAAACCATGCATGGCAAAAAGATGACGCTCAGACCGAGAATACGGTACACCTTGTCGTTTATTGAAAAACTTTTTCCCCCCCCGAACTCCCCGACTGTAGGGAGGGCGGCGGTGGGAGCGTTGGTCACGGAAACCACCGGAGTAAGGCTCTGAACCCCGTGGTCTCTGCGGAGTGTAGCGGCCCGGGCAAGGAGCAGGAGGGGGCGGAGCTGAGCGTCGCCGAGGTGACCGGTCTCTCTCTCTCTCTGCCGCGATAAGGCTGCTGCTGTTGTTGCTGCTGCTGCTGCTGCTGCTGCTGCTGCTGTGACACACGGCGAGGGAGCAGATGAGGAGCCAGCATGGCGGAGTCTTTGGCAGCAGCGTCCAGTCTCGCGACGAGCCCCTTCATGTCTGGACCGAAGAGGGAATCCATGGAGATAGGGAGGTCCAGGAGCTGCCTCTTCTCCGTCTCCTTGATGTCCGCGAGCCCCAGCCACAGATGGCGAGCACCGACCTGTGCGGACGCCATGGATCGCCCACCGTCAATAGCCAGCGCCTGGATCATACGGAGTATGGCCGCCGTGGTGGTTCTGGCCCGGTCCAGGTCCTCGTCGGTGAGAGCTTGACCCGTGGATAGAGACCTATCGAGGGCCCCGGTGAGAAGAGCCATATTGCTAGCTAACGCAACGACCTGTGCTGCGTTAGCGTAGCATCTATCCAGAACAGCCATGCTCATCCTATCCCGCTCCGAGGGAAGGAGAGGTCTGCTGCCGGGCCACACCGAGGACTGCGGGAGTAGTGCGAGCCGGACAGCGTCCTCCACTTCCGGGACCCCTTTGGACCAGGACCAGTCTTGGACCGAGCAATAGGCGCCGTACCCCAGAGCAGGCTTCTTAGCTGCTAGGGGTTTGGCCCAATCACGTGCCGCGTAATGGAAAACCGGATCCATCCGCGGACACAGTGTTGGAGCTCGTCTCTTCCTCCCTGGAAGCGATGAACCCACCGACGTGAAGTCGCTCTCTCTCTGGGTGGGTTGCGGAGGCAGGGGGGTCTCCATGGTGGCCGCTGCCATGGCGAAGAGGCGGGGCATGTGGTCCAGAGGGAAGCGGTCTTGTTCCTCGCACAAGGAAATAGCCTCGTCGAGAGTGACGTAGGAACCCCGGTCCTCGTCAAACTCTTCCTCCACAACACAGTCTCCCCACTCCCTGGGTGCAGGAGGCAGGTTGAGCGGGACATACTCAACCTCAGGTTCCTCCTCCTGGGAGGGACCCGGGCGAGCCTCCGCGGAGGTGGCATAAGCAGCGCGGCGCTCTCTCTCCTCCCCGGGGAGAGAAAGGCACGCCGCACACGTCGCCGCTTCCCGGTGGTGGTGAGCTCCCAGGCAGAGGAAGCAGAACTCGTGCCGGTCTTTGCGGTGGAGCTTGGTCCGGCAGCCACCGCACCGTCTTCGTCCGACGCCGGATGGCGAAGGAGTTCTCGGACGAGGAGGAGTAGACATCGCGATCTTCAATGGTGAGTAGAACTTCTCTCAATGGCGCCAGAGTTCAAAGTGAAGAGCATGGACTGCT